GAAAGGTCTCATCAACGACCCCGACATCGACAACAGTTTCAAGATCAACAAAGGCCTCCGCATATCACGACAGATGTTCAGCGACCTGACCAACGCAGGCATGCCCATAGCCAGTGAGATGCTGGATACTATCTCGCCACAGTTCCTGGCAGACTTCATCTCTGTCGGCGCCATTGGTGCACGAACCACCGAGTCTCAGCTGCACCGTGAACTAGCATCTGGTCTCTCTTTCCCAATTGGCTTCAAAAATGGTACTGACGGAAATCTAAACGTCGCCATTGATGCCATTGGCGCCGCGGCCTCCAAGCATCACTTCATGGGTGTGACCAAACAGGGCCTGGCAGCCATTACGAGGACCAAGGGGAACGAACACGGCTTCGTCATTCTCAGAGGCGGCAGCAAAGGCACCAATTATGACAAGGAGAGTATCCAAGCTGCCAAAGAAACCTTGAAAAAGAAAGGGCAGAAGTTGGCTATTATGGTTGATTGCTCGCACGGTACGTTAGCTTTTTTCGTTCTTAGTTGCTTGATTGCGGCGCATCCGAAACTAGACTGACAACGGCATAGGCAACTCCAACAAAGACCACCGGAACCAACCCAAGGTCGCCGGGGTCATTGGCGATCAGCTGAGAGAAGGAGAAAAGGCCATTATTGGAGTCATGATCGAATCCAACATTAACGAGGGAAACCAGAAGGTTCCTCCGGAGGGGCCCTCTGGACTGAAAAAGGGCGTGAGCATCACGGATGCCTGTATCGACTGGGAAACGACAGTCCAAGTCCTTGAAGACCTGGCGGCAGCGGTCCGGGTTAGGAGGGAGAAGAACGGCGTACCGAATAATAACGGAGAAGAGCCTAAAGCTACTCCTCTCGAAGAAGAATAGATTCCTAGGATAGAGCGCGTGATTCGTATTCCTTTCGGGCCTGGCTGCATGGAAAGAGGGGGCGCTTCGCTCCGAAAAATCGCGGTTAAGGGGGGAGCCCGCGGTGCAAGTCGATAAAGAAAGATGGCTAATCGGAGATGCATGGCAAATGAGAACCATCAGATCCATGAGGCTAGGGATGTGATCGGGAGGAAACCAAAAAAAAGGGCTAAGGCGTTAGGTTATAACCTATAGGTTATCACAAAATCGATACGAATGTATACATAATTTCCTGCTTCTCTAAATCCAGGTTGGTTCTGGTGATGCAGAGCGCGAGTTGCGTATAATACCTTCTATGGCTTCGCAATTCTGATATTGAATGATTGCAGAAAGCACATGGGCGGAAAAACAGACAAAAACGTAAGGTCCCTTCACGTTGTTCCTTTAATTATCGCGAACGCTGTTGACACGCCTAAATACCGACCTTCAGACTGGTACAAACCGGAGATGCCAACCGTTGTACTTTTCATCTGCGTGGCCCTTGTGTGTGATCATGGCCAACTGGTATATAGGCCCCTCTATCCTGGGCAGCGACTCCTACCCGTCTGCTCCCCGTGCCGGAGCCGCCCAACCCCAGCGCCGCAGCTTTCTTGCCCTCGCGCAGCTCAACAACTCTTTTAGCGGCAGCCCAACCTAACAGACCTGTTGTGCCTAGAATGAAACCCCAGACGATGATCTGGTCCTTGCGGCTGTCGCGCTGGAAGCACATGGCTACGACGTCATTCTCCTCGGCGTCCTTGCAGATGGGGAGATGCTGGGATAGGCAGAAGGCTCGGGTGCATTGGGTGCATGAGGCGGAGGCGGCGCGCTCTTGGAGCGAGAGCGAACGTAACGACTGTCCCGAGACAGTTGAGCCGGAGTTCTCGAAGGAGGAAGAGGAGTCACCTTGAGGGCCGAGCTGGATCAAGGTGCTGTTCTTGAAGCATGTACATTTACAAAATGTCGGCGCAGCTGCGAATATAAGAGAAGAAGAGGTTAGCTTAATGTAAGATATGCCTATATGAATGTTGAATGGAGAGGCCACGAAGAAAGGTGGCTTACAAGCTGCGGCGACGTAGGAGACGAGAACTCCTATTAGGAGTAGAGAGAAGTACAGGCGCGTCATGTCGCTATCATCGAATGGGAATATACCGAGTGTCGCGACAAACGAAAGTTTACGCACATCTCATATAGAAATATGAGGAGATGGTAGACATTAGATGGTGTAGGTTAAGGAGGGTTGTTGGACGTTCGCATGGTGCTTTCACAAGATTGGATAATTCGAAGTTGAAGCTTCAATGCGAATGACGGAAGCTAATGAACGTATGCTTGGCGAAGGCACGGCACCTGATAAAGGATATGTGGGTCTATCTACCTAATGTACCTAGGTAGGTAGCCTTCTGTGGCTGAGGTCCCGCTTACGTACATGTACATACTTTATAGGTACATTAAGTGCAGTTGTTTAAGCTCCCGGCCAAGCCCACATGCACCTAAAGCGTACTTGAGTTACACCTGTGTGGGCAATTTTGCAGCTGGCAGTGCGAAACCCTGCGATTAGAGAAAAAAAAGTTCGAGTTCTCGATATCGATATACTCGTACCGCATCATCGTGAAAACCACGGTTAGATTGCGCACCGATTGGACACGATGCGACGCATACCACGATTGAGACGGCCATCCAGCCTATCCGCCTCGACTTCACGCTCTCTAATCGCGCCTCTAGTCGTCCAATGCCCGGCTACATCCGCTCAGGCTATCTCAGCCTCAAATCGTAGGCCTGTACCAGCGAGCTTCCAATGCCTCACATTTACACGTCTTTACTCGTCCGACACACAAACTAGTCCGCAGCCTACTAGACAGGATGGCGAGGAAGCACGGGAAACCCAGCCTAACGATTTGAACGAAGGGGCCAAAGAAGAAGTAGAAGACGAGCCACCACAGCAATGGCAGGCCTACGTCCCGCCACCTCAGCGCAGCTATGCCGCGCGGCCAGACGAGATTTCGGACTCTCAATACGTGCCCGCATTAACCGCGGAGGGCTTGGAGACAGTTGGCGGGGTAGGAAACTGGTGGGATCAAGAGGCACACTGGCCCAAGTCGGCCGATTTCGCCGGCTTTAAGCCACTGGAGAAGGTCGTCGATCCAGCCATCATCGAGGCCGCGGTTCGGCGAGCCGTTGTCGAGGCATTCGCACTGAGGCAGGCGGGCCTAGAAGAGGAGCTAGTAAAGGCCTGGCCGATAGCAGGGGAGATCCGTCAGCTTATGGAAGTGGACGTCAATGTCGCGGATAATGGTGCTGTATCGCTAACTGGGGACGTCTCTGCCGTAATAGAGTCTCTGAACCAGAAGGACGAGGCTACCGCCGACGAGTCTGCTGCTGCTGAAGGACCAGCGTTAGACGCGTCGGTTCTCTCGGCTGAGGAAGCCCAGAAGTATAGAGACACCTGGGGCCATGGCTGGAAAACCGCTTCTCTGTCGGATCCCCGAATCAAATTCGCCGTAAGTGTTTCCACTTCTTAAAGTATAGTAAGGACTAACGCAGAAATGCCTAGGTTACGAAGCGGATTTTCCAGCTTACCGGTCAGCTAGTCCACGATCACCAGTTGTCAAGTATATCTGATGTCCGGTCGTTGCTCCACGCGGTACAAACGCCACCAAAGCCAAAGACTCTGACTCAAGAGCTTCAGGAGCGCCGGCAAGATCTCATCCAGCTGCCGAACGTCTCCGTAGCAGCAAAGCGTATCACACGCGGCGACAAGGAGAAGGCACTTGGAAGGTTCAAGCTCATAGAAGAAGAGCTGAAGAAGAGAGATCTGCCACTGGACGGTCACGGGTTCGTCCGGAAGAACAGGGAGCTCTCGCGGCTCAAGGGTGGAGTATAGCCGCCTATTAACGATGGACTTACCCATGGCGCACTATGTATCAATAGACTAAGATGCAGAAGACCCTCGGATACTGTACATAAAGGACAACACGATTGTAATCTGAGACCTAGTATTAGGCTTGCGTAACCCTGAAACCCATCTGCACCTTGTCTTCACCTCCTTGACCAACCTAAATAGCTCCTTCAAGCGTCTTTCCCCCAACTCAAGGCGTGTATATAATAGTTAGGTTAGGTGCCTAGCTAGCTAGCTAAATGCTACCTGACTGGCCCATTCTGCAAATATCTCCAGCTGGAGGTTCACTTCCTGGATTATAGCGACGTCTTTGGGTACCTCGTAATGAGAGTCCGAATCGTAGCCGTTCTTAGCCTCTTCAAGAAGACTCGTACAGTTCTAAGATTGCCTATAGTAGTTGTAGCGTATCTTTTGGGGACAATATTCCCCAAATACGCAAGTAGCTTGTAATCATCGCATGGCCATGTCTAGGAATTCATAGAGAGGATTAGAAAGTAGCAATCCACCACTTCTTATATTCTCTAGGTTTCTCTTAAGAGTATTCCTGCGAGTCTTTGCACTAACTCACGACCTATATTCCAAATGCAAGCGCCATCGTATCTTCTAATAGTCGCTTATTCGCTTCCGTCAGGTCCTTGATGCGCCCCACCCACATCTTTTTGTTTGATGACGGCCTCTCAGCCCCTTTCGACGCCTTGTTAAGTGCCACAATTAGTTTCGTGGTCTTACATTGAATGGGCTCCCTGAAGATGAACATCGCCCAAACCATTTGACTGTCCAGGTGATCTATCAGAGATGGCTGGAGGAATCACGGCCTTTTGGACCCTGAGCTGGTTAGGAGACCAGAGCCTCAGATGGCGTACCTAGACGAAGGGGCCATGCCTGTACGTATGTACAACATTAAGGGTAGGTCTATCTAGGTAGGTCAGTACCAAACAAAGTCACTGTTCAAGGTCTGTAGCGGCACAAGAGGGCCTCTTAACGAGTTGGTTGGCTAAGAAGAGAGTTGCATGGTTGAGTAGAAGGATTTAAGTGATGAAGGCCAGGATGGAAGTCTCACGTAGCATTAAATACCGATTCCGGCCTGAGCATATAAAGTGGGCCGCAGCACGCTAAATTCCAGAAAAGCCACCACGAACTGCACGAATTATGCCGCAGCTATAGATGTGTAAAGCAAGCCGTTAATCATCCAATCGCAATACACGGCCTTGGTAGCTCAATTGGCTAGAGCGTGGGACTTTTACCTGGCCTCTATTCGCATACTGATAGTTGCCCGAGGAAGCACATCCCAAGGTTGCGGGTTCGACCCCCGCCTGAGGCGTCTTGTTTTTGCTGTTCAACTTCATCGTCGGACAATATTTGACCTTCGAAAGTTACCTATATTTCAATTGTGGTGTCATAGGAAGTGTGCTGGCGCTCGTGAAGCCTTTTTGAGAATTGTGCGAAGTCCAAGGCCCTGCCCAAATTTTGATTCTAAAAGGTATGCACTTCCTTCGTCTCATTGAGAATTCCACTAGTCTAATTCTGATCTACCTAGAGTACAAACAATCCTTAGCCACATGCGCAGCACGTACATCTATGTAACCCAGAGCATCATTTCCAAGGTTTCTCAACCAGCGGAACAACTGTGCTGTTCCTGCGTAGAGTCTGGTAATTAGAATTGAGCGCGCTGAAACCTGAACACAATATACTTGACAAATATGTGTAATATACTGCTACCCGCTTACGATACATGTATTCATGCCCGGTTATCCACATGAAATTGCGAGTGTGGGTGTGGGCTACTCGAGGGATACCCCACGTCAGCATTATGATTGGACGTGATCCCATTTGGAATGTTGCATCGCATTCTACCTAGGTAATCTTGACCTTCCGACATTGTACATCATAGGTACATCATATATATATGCGTTTCGTCTCGAATCTAGGCACTGTACCTACTATAGAATAACTTCTTCGGCATGGCTGGGATTGGAGTCAGAGTACCCATTCGGCGGCTTCTTGTCCTGACTTCGCCCTCCGGGGTTTCAACTGGCGGACGTGCTCAACTCCTTCCCAGGAGGTGCCTCCACGGCACAGCTCCTCGCCATACAGATGGAGTATTCCGGGGTCTCTCTGATAACCGCCTACCAATGCCATGGATAGAGGCATGGAGGCTCCAGCAAGAAGGGAAGGATCTAGCCTCCGACGAGGCTCGGTCGCAGGAGCGCGACCTTACTCCGAAAAAGATGAGTGACAGTTACCATCGAGTTGTCCTTCCGCTCGGCCGTGACCCTTGGCTTAGTGATACATATATCAACTCTTCCGGTCATATAAGGTCCTTGACCCGCTTCTCCATCTAAGGCAGCTTCCTCTAACAAGATAGGTTACCTCTAGGCTAGGTACAATATTCATGGATCTCGATGCCCTGTCTGGAATCATCGTCTACAAACACACTGGACCCGGCGTCACCACGGTGACTGCTGCGCTAGACCGTATCACCATTGCTCACCCACTGACCGAAATATGTGACCTGGAGTATAGTGGACAGGTGACATATGCATCGGGGAGGAGCAGCGTTGAGATCACATGCAAGGTTGCCAGAGCCAGAGACGAAGGTGAACCAAGCAGGCCCGAGGACGTGCTACTTACCTGTACCTTCACAATGGTGGCCTTGGATCCCACGACGAAGAAACCCGTCAACATACCACGTCTTATTTGCTCGACTCCCGAGGAAGAAAGAATCTTCAAGGCCGGAGAGGCCAAGGCATTAGCGAAGAAAAAGAAGCTCAAGACCTCGCTGCTTGAGACAGAGCCAAATGACCCCGAGTCGGCCCTAATCCACAAGATCTGGTTGAGACAGTTGGCTTACCATGACCCGAATAACAGCCTTCGTCAACCTGCGAATGTAATTGCTATGTCCAGGACTCAGCTCTCGACTGCATCCATCATGCAGCCACAATATCGTAACCGCCACCAGACCATGATCTTTGGCGGTTTCCACTTGAAACAGACCTTCGAGTTAGCTTTCTGCTGCGCTGCGAGCTTTGCGCATGCGCGGCCGACGTTCATCAGCGCCGATCCCTGCACCTTCCGCAACCCGGTTCCCGTGGGCAGCGTCCTATACCTAACCGCGACCATCGTATATACAGACCCGCCGCTTCTAGAGGAGGATGGCAGCGAGCCGAAGCACAAGGATCCAGACAATCCGGTAACTCGACTGCACGTCAGAGTAGATAGCAAGGTTAGAGATGTCGAGCATGGAAACGCCAAACCAACCGGCCAGTTCAATTATACGTTCTCGGTGCCTAAGGACGTGAAAGTCTTACCACGTATGTCTATTTTTGTACTGTTCGCTCATACTGTTTCCTTTTCTTTTGCCAGGGAGATTCTTCTCCCTTCTCCCCCTTTAAGCGAGTGCGTTGAATTGGATGGAACACTCAACCCGACTTGCAAGATCTACCGCAAGCATGTGGCTAACTATCGGTTGCAAAGACACTTACCAAGAGTATATGATGTATATCGATGCCAGGAGGAGAGTGGAGCTCGGGGACGTGCAGGATCGCCTGGATCACGCGGACTCGGAGCTACAGAGGCCACAATCGGCCGAAAATGTCAACCTGACGGAGTGAGGCTTCAACGTAAGCCCCCGGGTGCTAGCGTATGGCATAGACGTTTTGGCTTTTATTGATAGAACTCCTAGAAACGAGGGCAACCTTATGTGTGTAAATACATGTTTCCACCGAAATAGGGAAAAAGAAAGGGGGGCGGAGGCGGATAGGTGGGTGTTTGTCCCGTTAGGATTCTGACAGCTTCGTCGTTGGTTGGAAGTAATAGCATGATCGGTCATACGAACTTGATTGCGAAACTTGCAGAGCCCAGACAGATGATTACTGTGCGCACTTGTAGATATTAAATTGCAGAGCCAGACCATGATGGCCGCTTATGAATGTATGCGGTCGAGGTTCACTTTATGTAGATCGTACCTAGACTAAGATATACAGTAGAGATTAGGTAATTCAGCTCTCGGGACCCAGACTGCCAGATTTCAAGCCGCCCCACTCAGCCCCACGCACGGACTGCCATTCAACCCCACATATTAGATAAGGAGCACAAACTTGCACTGGCCACTCCAAAATGGTAACCGCTAGGGTTTTCAAGCCCTCCAAAAAATTTAGCCGAAAGTGCGGGTTGGTCAAGCCTTGGTCGCTACCTCTACCAAATCCTCGTGCCTCCAAATCCGGAGATTTGAGTCGACCTACGACAGACGACCATTCTTTCCACAACCAACCCTTGATCGCAATCATTCACAATGGTATGTACTGCTAGATGTCCGACGGTCGCAATGCCGTCCTGCCTGTTGAGATAATCTTTACTTCAAAGCAGCGATGCGCTAACAGGTCCATGTCTCCAGGCGATCAAGCACAACAACCAGATTCAGCACAACCGTACGTTCAACCGAAGACATCTCGAGACTAAGAATCGAGCGATTGCACCCGAATCTGCACATCAAAAATACTAACTGAGTCCACACAGACTTCCGAAAGGATTGGCAGCGTCGGGTCCGAACCCACTTCGACCAGGTATGAAGATCAACGCGTCTAATATCCTAGCGATGAGATGATGAGAGAACTGTCATTTGTGCTGACCTGGAGATGGGAATATCGTAGCCTACCAAGAAGATCCGACGTCGCTCTCTCCGCGCCGCTAAGGCTGCTGCCGTCGCACCCCGACCCGTCGACAAGCTGAGACCTGTTGTTCGATGCCCGACAATCAAGTACAACCGCCGTGTTCGTGCCGGACGTGGTTTCACCCTCACTGAGCTGAAGGTACGTCCCCACCAACGAGGACTTTTCTCTATACGCCGAGGGGGCATTCACCTGCTCGCCTGGAGCCCCGTCAAATTCGCCACACTCGAGCGAGCTCTGTGTCCTGATGGGATTACTCTAACATCTATGTAGGAAGCCGGTATCCCCCGCCTTGTCGCACCTACCATTGGTATCGCTGTCGACTACCGCCGCCAGAACCTCAGCGAGGAGTCTCTTGCCGCCAATGTCGCTCGCCTCAAGGCCTACCAGGCCCGATTGATCGTCTTCCCTCGTAAGGGCTCCAAGCATCCCAAGGCTGGCGACAGCAAAGACATCGACCTCAGCAAGACCGAGACTGTTTCCACAATCGGATCTACCCTGCCTATCGTTCCCGTTGGCGAGGGTATCTCAGAGATCAAGAAGAGCGACTTACCCAAGCCGATTGAGGGTGGTGCGTTCGCCAAGCTTCGCAAGGCGCGAAGCGACAAGAGACTGCAAGGAGCACGGGAGAAGCGAGCCCGGGACAAGGCCGAGGCTGAGGCCAACAAGAAATAAAATGGAGGTCGAACTTCGCAAGGGTCTGCACGGGAGTACGGACGGCATTCATAGGGTTCTGCTTTCGTTGTGTTGTTGGACGGTCATGGTGGGTTGGCTTGCGGTTTCTGTGTAGCCAGGAGAGAACACATCTCATCATTCTCTCGCCACACGGCATGGACCGAAGCATTATTGCATCTTCCGGTTTACTCTAGGTCGTTCTCAATGGAAAATGAATGGACATGATTCGCGCGCCTTTCTAACACTATGGCATGAAGCCGTAATTTGGGCGTTGATCTCGGGTCAGTTGCAGACCGAGTTGACGGTAAGGCTAATTCTCGTAGAGTTGTTGAGTCGGCCTCACATACGATATCACTTCTATCGGGATCTATACTTTATAGCGCCGGTGACGATCTAATGCTAAATGTCTAACCGCGACGTGCTGGTCTGTAGTAAACTTATCAACCGGCCGCCTACCTGGTTGTCCCCTGTGACGCCTCGTTCCTCTCACCAAGGAGCAACTCTCCACCAGTCTTTGCGATCCGGCTAAACGTATTAATCGCCGAAGGAGAAAGCTCATCTGGACAATGCTTCAGCAACTCTGTGATCAACACCAGACCATTCTCCCGATCTATCTTTGACATAGTTGCAGCCTTCGTCGGGTCAACTTGTTGTGGCTCGAGCTGACCTAGTCCGCTGCTTATCGCCGCGAGGTTCAAACTGGACCCCTCTGCCGAATTACTGTCCGCATCTTGCGTCTGCTGGTCCTCGGGTATCTTCTCGCCGGTGACAGCCTTGACCAGGACACCGATTATCTCTGGCCGCTGTCGTAGGAATTGGGAAACAATGGCGGCTCCTTCGGCAGAGCGCGCCATCAGCGCGAGCACGAACCATAGTTCCGACCGCAGAACCGGAAACTTGTTCTGCAGGCCGAGATAGAGCAGTGTGTCCGCCAGCGTAGGGTGTTTGCTGTAGAAGTCCTGGAGAAGAGAATGGGCTG